GCTGCATATAAATTCAGTTTATTTTCCAGAAAATACTTTGTGTCTCACTGAGCAGCAGGGATATTGTAAGGACAGATCAGATTGATCTTTGTGTTTATGCAGTTAATAGCTGACTTGCATCTCTCTAACCTACCTGAGTGCTTGCTGAACACCACCACATTGTGTCAGAAGCCATAACTAACCAAGAGATGGAGCAACTGTTTCTACTAAATTAGCTGGATTTGCAAGAAAATCTGCCTGAATAAAATGAATCAGTATAAAAAAAGTTTTAAATTTTTCTCATTGCTGCTGAGATTGCACTTAAAGCACAGTTAATGGCATTTTCCCATGGTGGTAGGCACTGGAGCACTGAAAGCCTACGTTGTTTCTACATGAGAGGGGCAGGTTCATTCAAGCTATGGATATTTGTAAAGCAAGTGAAATTAATCAAATGCAGATTTAGGTGCAGAGTGATCCAGTACCAGCCACACAACTAGTCTCTGAGACATCATTTCGAACAGGAAAAAAATTGAAATGAAGGAAACCCAAACAGCAATCAAAACAGAAGTAAAATTTCTTGTCAGGCAAAAATTCTTGACCACATCTTGTCATTTGGAATACAGATGAAAAAAAATGACCAGCATTTACTGACTGACTAGATTTATAGCAGTCCATTTCTGCTGCTAATAAGTTGGCCAAGCAGCAGCAAAGTGAAATTAACAAAATTATTCACTTATCAAGGTTCTATTCAGAACCATGGAAGCAGCAATTACACAATCAATAATGATGTCAGTTTCATGCAGGTTCTTGGTAAAGTTATGAGCAGTAACAAGTCAGATATTGGGCTTATAGGCCCCAAGAAAATGGCTAGGAGAGGGGTGGAAAAATAGAGACTTTTCCACTCCCCACTATTAATTGCAGCTGGAAATCTCTGGGAGAGCAGTTACTACAAAACAGCCCTATCGTCCTTAAGACAGCCAGGAGGCTCTGGAGGGTGGGAAAGAGAGCATAAAAAAGCTTTTTCACACAGTCAATTGTCCAAGCCATTAGCTTGAAGCTTCACAATTGATTAGACCAGTGTTTCACAAACTTGGGACGCTGCTTGTTCAGGGAAAGCCCCTGGCGGGCCAGGCCGGTTTGTTTACTTGCTGTGTCCGCAGGTTCGGCCAATCGCGGCTCCCACTGTCCTCAGTTTGCTGTGCCCGGTCAATGGGGGCTGCAGGAAACGGCAGCCAGTACGTCGCTCGGCCCACGCCACTTCCCGTGGCCCCCATTGGCCAGGCACAGCAAACCACAGCCAGTAGGAGCCCGCAATCGGACGAACATGCGGACACGGCAGGTAAACAAACGGGCCCGGCCCGTCAGGGGCTTTCCCTGAACAAACGACGTCCCAAGTTTGGGAAACACTGGATTAGACATATGCAAAGTGATGAGAAAAATTTAGCCCTCAACTAGAATCCAGGGTCAACACCCATGTAAAAATCCCAGCACCCTCCTCATTCCTAGCAGCTGGAAATGTCTGGACTTCACTGCAGCATTCCCGCAGAACCTTGCTGTTGGGCCCCACCTTATCTTTTGTGTGTACCTCTGGCTAATAGATTTAGTCCTATACCTATCATAGGTACATGGCAATTTTTTCAAGCTCTACTCATAGTTACAACAGTGCAGTGACAGTCAACATATACGGTACATTTGACGTTTGAATGACCCACTGGAAAACCCTCATTCTCCACTAGTACATTTAAACCTTTTTAAAAAAAATAAGTATGTATATTACATTTCTTTTAGTCTCCGCACCTCCTTGAGGATGGTAATATATACATGACTAAATACATGTCAGGAATAATCAGTTCCTACTGTAGATTGAGGCCACATCAATTTAAAAAACAACTTTCCTTCAGCACCATGGACTGCTGGCTGCAATCCTCCTCGCTATTGCTACCACTTGGCAACCCTAATGAGGCTGAAGTATCTGACTAGCAGCAGATAAACTCCTCAAATGGTTTTGCCAGCTTTTCTATTTGCTTCCCAAAGCATGAAGCCAGCAGGAAACATCTCATGTGACCTGTAACCAGGAGGGAGTTTGAGTGGAAGAAGTTTTTGGTTTTAAAGGTTACCATCTTCAATAAAGAGCTTATTGCAGCACACTTGAATGCTAAAATGAGCTAACCGTTTAAAACACAAACTGCATTTTAAACGCTAATTTTATAAGCCAAGACTCCCAAATACCAATTGTGATGTGGATATTTTGAAAACAACAGCCTTGCAAAATTCTACTCAACCACACTTGTAGAGGAGTAGTTGTTTGACGGGAAAGTAAAACATCTTTTTTAAATAAAAAAAAAGCATTAATCATCATGGTAATAGGTCAGTGAACTGACCTTGTTCATTGGCAAGTAAACTTTCATGATCATATTGCAAAGCTAACTATTCCTTTTTCCTTCATTTCAGTTCCCTCATGTCATCCTGTCTGGCTCCTTTCCTGCAGCAAAGCTTCAGAATCCATCATTCAGTAATAACTACCATTAGAACCAGCTCATAGGGACTCTGTGTTTATTATCTAGCCCTAGTGTCAAAGAGTTTTTACATGCCAAGAGATACAAATTAAATCTTTTTAAGAACACTTCACAAAACCCAATACAATAAATACACCGTTTAGCTAAGCTCTATTGGGGCAAGTGCTTATCATTGAATGGAGGCTCAAAATGGTGTAGGTGATGTTGTAAAATGATGTATTTGGTGGCACCAAACCAGAGCAGAAGCCAGATAGCATAACTATGGAGGAGCTGAAATGAAGAGCACCAGAGGATAAGTCAAGTCAGTTTTGTGTTGAATGCCAACCAATTGCCCTTGCTATTCAGAGCATTCACCATCTATAAAACAAAATGCATTAATTGCAGTGCTTACCACACTGTGGCCACTACTGAAGACAAATAATACATTCCTTTAATTTTTTGCAAAGGTTGTAGTTCATATTAAAATGAACACAATTAAAGCTATAAAGATCAGATACAAAATACTTCATCACTTTGCTGACAGAAAGCACACATGGGAAAATCTATCACTCATGTGATCCATATGCTACAACTAGGATTTAATTGGAAGCACATCTCCATGGTAAAGAGACCAAACACTAGGAAAAACCCCACAAGGCTTTGGAGCAAAAGGATTCCACTAGCAGAAATATGGTGTGAATAAACCCTGGTTGCAACACATGAAGCCAAGGAAAGTATACTTACTGTGAGCTTTCCTTCCTGTTTTCTTTACCTGCTATGGCTCCAGTTAGGGTCAAGATCACTATCAGCAGTTTATTCTGTATTTTTTGAGAATTTGATTGTTTGTTGTTTGTTTTTTAGTTGCATCCAATGGGCTAGATCCTATAGATACTTACAGATACGAGTTATTTTACTCATGTGAGCAGCCCTACTGAAACCATGAGAGGAGTTATTCACCTGTATAAGTGTTTGCAGGTTCAGGCCTTAATGTTGGAACGTATTTTACTGCATCCGTGTTGAAAAGCTAGCCAACTCTATGTTACACCATTCTCCATAAAACTAGCTCACCAAGACCACCCAAGCAGTCAATCCTGAGGAGGGCAACTAATAATACGATGATAATTTTAATTTCTAAAGCAACCAGTATGAAGTGCCTGCATACTGTACAAAATAAACACTTAAGATTGGTGCAAAAATAGCTCATTCCCCCATTTTCAGTTTGTTCATCTTGTACCAACAGAACCACAACTACGCATACATCTTGAAGCCATGACTCTGTCAAAAAATAATTCTGTTCTATGATACCATATATAGCAAATGGTAATGCAAAGCCTGGAGCATACTATGGAAGAGAAAGAACAATATGTATTCCCCGGGTCTGTGGAATGTTTAGAAAAACAGTCTGGGACCAGAAAGACTTTTCCCCCAGAGAAACCACAAGGAGCACAAAAAACTATTGTTCTTCTGAGGACCAAAGTTTGCCTCACTCACATGGAATGGTTACAGGGTTCTGCCCACATGGCAAAACCGAGAGCCTCCTGTACAGCCTCAAGAGATCCTTGTGCCTTTCTTTGGCTCCACAGAAGACCAACTTCAATAGAATTGTGCTGCCTTGGATCTCTGCAGCTAGTCCATTCCTCCAGAAATCCCTTTTCATGAAAGAAAAAGCAGACGCATAGTGAAGTTAATATTGACTGTCAGGGTTAATTCTGCTATGGAATCCATGCATGGTTGAGGATAACGGACACTCCAGAAACACATGGCGAGGCATACCTTCCCAACTCTACAGCATATCTTCAATGGTACTTGGCAAAAGGGGTGTATCATGCTGAAGATGCCCCTTTTCTATGTTTTCTGCATACTAATCTATAGGAGTTTTCCAGAGAGGCCCAGGAAGGAAGGATTTTGTGTGTGAATTTCCTTGGTTTACCCCAAGTCACCAACATAACCTACCAGTTTTTAAAATGTGACAGTGTTTGCAAAAAGGAAATTATTTCTTTGGCTTCCTTCTTACAATGAATTAATGAGAAAAGCGGGAAGAAAATTGTTATGCCTTACAATCAGTGTGTGTGCAATGTTTTGAAACCGGGGGATGTTGTGATTTGGGCGACAACAGTTAAGCTGACAGTATAGGAGTTCAAGGAGTACTTGTGGCACCTTAGAGACGAACAAATTTATTTAAGCATAAGCTTCCGTGGGCTAAAGCCCACTTCATCAGATGCATGCAAATACTCTCTGGCAACCGTGCCTAGGGGACACAACAGGTGAGGTTTTCTACATCAGCCATAGTATGAGCCCGATGCAGACCCTGCCAAGGCGGCTTGCTGCCCCCATGCCTCCCCCCACAGGGATGCTCCCTGTCCCTACATAGGGAGAGGGCTGCTACAGGCCCCTGAGCACAGCCAGGACCAACGAACCCAGGTGTCTCTGGAGAAGATACTTAAGCTGCCCCGAGACTCCCCACCTGCGCCGGCCCCAGCAGGGCTGCCCTGGCGGGCCGCTGCCCCCGCCCCCCAGCCCGGTTACCTGCAGCAGGCAGTGCCCGGGCCCCGCGTGCTCGGCCAGGCTGGCGTTGTAGACCTGCTGCTCGAAGACGGGCTCGTTGTCGTTGGCGTCCTCCACCAGGACGCTCACCAGGCAGGAGGCGGAGAGCGGCGGCTCCCCCAGGTCCCGCGCCACCACCCGCAGCTCCAGCGCCGCCTCCCGCTCGCGGTCCAGGCCGCGCCGGGTGCTGATCACGCCGCTCAGCGGGTCGATGTGGAAGAGCTCGGGGCCCGCGGCGCCCGGCGCCGCCTCCAGGGCGTAGCGCACCTGGGCGTTGGGGGAGCCGGGCTCGTCGGCGTCCGAGGCGCTGAGCCGCAGCACGGTGGTGCCGGGGGAGGCGGCCTCGGAGACGGCGGCGCGGTAGCGGGGCTGCGGGAAGGCGGGCGGCTGGTCGTTGATGTCGGCGATGCGGAGCAGCAGCGTCTCGCGGGCGGAGAGCGGCGGGGAGCCGGCGTCGGTGGCCGCCAGGCGCAGCTCGTACAGGTCCCGCCTCTCGCGGTCCAGGGGCCCCTCCACGCAGAGGAAATAGAGGCCGGCGGCGCCGCCGGGCCGCAGGGCGAAGGTGCCGTCCCCGCCCTGCAGGGTGAGGCCGATCTCGTCCCCGGCCTCGTCGGGGTCGGAGACGGAGACGCGGGCCACGTAGTCCCCCGGCCGCGCGGCCTCGGAGAGCCGGGCGCCGCCGCCCTCGGTCAGGTAGAGCACGTGGATGGCCGGGCTGTTGTCGTTCACGTCCAGCACGGCGATGGAGACCAGCGCGCTGCCCACCTCGGGCTCGGCGCCGCCGTCGCGCGCCTGCACGATGACGCGGTGCAGGGCGCGGGCCTCGCGGTCCAGCGGGCGGTTGACGCGCAGCAGCCCGGTCCGCTCCTCCACGGCGAAGTAGGCGGCGGGGTCGCTCTGGCGGCGGTTGATGAGGTAGCGCACCTGGCCGTTGGCGCCCAGGTCCGGGTCGGTGGCCCGCAGGCGGCAGACGGCGGTGCCCGGCGCCGCGTCCTCCCGCACGCGGGCCCGGTACTCGCGCTGGCTGAAGGCGGGCGCGTTGTCGTTCTCGTCCAGCACCCGGATCTCCACCCGCAGGCGGCCGCTCAGCCGCGGGCTGCCCCCGTCCCAGGCCTCGATCACCAGCCGGTGCGAGTCCGCCCGCTCCCGGTCCAGCCGCCGCAGCAGCACCAGGTCCAGCGGCTCCGGGGGGGAGCCGTAGCGCAGCTGGAAGAGCGGCGCCGCCGCCGCCTCCGCCTCCTGCCCTTCGGCCAGCAGCGTGTAGCCCTGGGTGCCGAAGCTGCCGGCGTCGGGGTCCCGGGCGCCCGGGAGGCGGAAGGCGCTGCCGGGCGGGCTCAGCTCGGAGACGTTGAGCCGCAGCGAGTCCCGCGGGAAGCGGGGCGGATGGTCGTTCACGTCGGTGACCGCGATCTCCACCTGCACCATCTCCCCGCGCAGCGTGGCCGCCACGAAGCTGTAGCGCGCCCGCCGCTCCCGGTCCAGCCGCCGCGCCGTGCGGATGATGCCGGTGTCCGGCTGCACGTGGAAATCCGCCAGCAGCGCCGACTCGCCGCTCCCCTCCGACAGGAAGAAGCCGCCGGGCTGCCCGTCGCCCGGGGGCAGCCCGGCCCGGATGTCCCCGACCAGCGTGTCCGCCGGGAGCCCCTCATCCACCGCCAGGCTCAGGTTGTACAGCTGGGCCGAGCAGCCCCGCGCCGCGCACAGCCACAGGGGCGCGAGCAGCGCCAGCAGCCCGGCCCCAGGCGCCCCTGGGCCCCCGCGTCTCCTGCTCCCCCGGGGGAGCGGCCGCTCCCGCTGCCTCTGGCACCTGCTGCTCGCCCTCGGGGGCAGCGGCCGCTGCCCCATCTCCGCTGCTCCCCCCCCGTTTCAGACGCGAGCGCCCCTGGTCCGGGTCTGCCCGCAGCGGGAGGATCCGAGCGCCGGGTGCTCCTCAGCCACCTCCTCACAGGCCAGTGCAATGACACGGGGATCGCTTCCAATTCAGCATCGGGAGGGGTTTGTTTGCAGTCGTACGGCTCAGCCAGGGGCCCCTCGCCGCGCGCGCACGCACTGCCACAGCCTGTGCGCTCCTCCACGAGCGCTGCTGCTGCCGGATGCCTCCTCTTCTCGCTCGCCTCCTTTATTTCTTTCGCATCCGCGCCTCGCTCCGCTTTCCCCCCGCCGGAGTCAGGTGCATTATTCCTGTTGCCAGAGCAATAGGAAATCCTCTAAGCCACACGCGCACGCACACACCTGCCAAAGTTGGTGCGGCGAATAACAAGTGTGTGTGAGAGAGGCGGGAGGGGACAGCTTCCTTGCCGCTGCCGCAGTTGAGACGCCTGCTACCCATAACGTCTCAGGAGTAGCAGAGCTGCAAACACACCCCCTCCCATGTGACTCGGCTCTCAGACAAGGGCAGACTCTGCTCCTATGGATAGCTGGAGAAAGCACTGCAGCAGGGAGTTGTCCCCTTCTTTCCTCTCTGGCTGGGAGGCGAGATTCTGGGAAGGACAGCGCACCAGCGTGATCCTGCTAACCTGAATCTAGCGTTAGAAGAGACATGCAGGCCCTCGATCAAGTGATCCATGCAAAGTAGTGATTTGGAATCGTAGGGAGAAATACGGTTTTATGCACGTTTATCTTGAATAACCTTATAGATCAGACACAAAAATAATCACTGACAATGCAATTGGATAGAGGGACAATCTGTGCCAAAACAAGAACTGCTTAGCTTGTGGGGTTAATATAAGAACTGCTTAGCTTGTGGGGATAAAATGAGCAAGTACACACAGGGATGTGAAACCACATTAATTCTGTCTGTGCAACTATTTAAATAAGGTGATGGAAAACAAGCTTCTTGCAGAGCCGCCAGGCCAGGACACAGGCGGAAGGGGTTGACTTTGGGCTCTCATTTTCATCGAAGTTACAACAGTGCCTGCATTTGAAAATGATGATTTAGGGGGAAAGATAGACTGGAGGTTCTTAAAATACAGAAAATTGACAATCTGGGAGAAGTTCCTGTCTCGTGCCTTAATGATTTCAATGCAATGAAGTTTGCTCACAGATTGTAACACTCCAGACTGTGCAGATTGATAATGAGCTAGCATTTTTATAGAGCCTTTCAGCCAAGTGGAACCCAAAGCACTTCACAAATTTTATTAAATAATTGTACAAAGCCATTAGCTGGATAAAATTGCAGGTATAGTCCCTGTAGTTAGGATCTCAGCCTTCTTTTCAGTGATTCATGTAAACAATATTGCACTAATTTATTTATTAAATTCCTAGAAGGGGAAGCCACACAAAGGTCTGAGATAAATGTGGTGTAATAATGTATTTACCACAAAAACAGTGCAAACCACATGAGGAGAAAATATATTCCCGAGGTAGGCGGTTATGGTGACACCTTAAGAGCCCAGGGGCTAGGCACGTTAGAAGGAGGATATATTTCCTCGGCTTTCTACTCATACAAATAAATCACTACATTTTTGTGAATCCTGCAGTGATCAGCCCTGCTATTGTGTATTGCTAAATTGTGTAATATTTTGTCATGCTTCAATGATCTAAAACAAACTTGAACCTGGAGATGGCTTTTATAAAGATTGATTTTTGGTGGGTGCTGGAGGAACAGCTTTTAAATGAAAGCAGTGAATAAAGCACACTACTACTTTTAGATGCAGAAATATGCTTCATCAGAAGAGAGAATTTAAATTATGCAAAAATCTGCAAGAATAAACAGTTTTATTACATTCAGCGAGTTTTTGTTCTCTTTATTATTCTGGTCCAAATTTTCCATAAAGTGAATGCTAGCTCTTTATCCCACCATTATTAGCTCAGTAAATAGTGAAAAGCACGGCAGGGAAGCATTTACCAGAAATAACTTCCAAGTTAAGTGAAACTTAATATCCAGTATAGCCTTTTTTTTTTTTCTGTCACATTATCTTTTGCCACAACTTCTAAAACCCTGCTGCTCTTGGCAGTAGCTATTCTGGTTTTAATGTCACAAAATAATTGTCAAAATTGATTATTGCTAAAATAGTTTCTCATTTTCCTGGTTAAAATGAATCACATTAGTCCCCAGAAAGTTCTGCATCTTTTTTCAGATGTTGGAGAGGTGGTTTATTCTGAAACACTGTGGGACTTGGGATTTTATAGCTGTGAGGTCTAGACTAAGCATAGGTTTAGTAGCCAGGAACTCCTGAATTCTAATCCTATATCTAATAAATTTGAGCAAGTGCTCTAAACTCTCTCTGGGTGGAACCTTGGCTCTATTCAAGTCACTGGCAAAACTTCCCTTGATTTCAGTGGGGCCAGAATTTCACCTTTTGTCTGTTTCCCCATTTTTCATGTGTCTACCTAACTGGGCATCTCATGAGGATTAATTTGTTAATGTTTCTATGGTGACACTGAGAGCATACAGCACCCTATCTATGCTAAGAACTGTGGCATCTATCATTCTGTGAAAGCTAAGGACAATATTTCAACATTTCCATTTCCATGTCTTGCTCTTCTTACTAGTCCTTCTTTGTACTGAATCTCACCATTTCTGGCATTCAGAAAAGGCAAATTTGGCATGGATAAACAAGAACAGGGTGAGTAAAAGAAGGTGGCTGGAGCACATATTATAGATAGGTCAGATGGTATGAAAGAATACAGTTTTTGTGTTTGCTAGGCCCTTAGGTAAAATGGCTTCTTTGCTACTTGCCTCTTTTTCAAGCATGGTAAGAACTACAAATATTTTACCCCTTTCCTAAGCACCACTCCTGGGATGGCAATACTCTTTAGAATGGCTAGTGCTGCTGTAACATCATTTAAAATAGCAGCTTCAGGGGAGAAGTATTTTTTCCCCAGTGTTGTTACACCTACCACATCTGGATATGTGGAACTATTTCATTTCTGACATTTCTTTCTCTCTCTCTGTGTACTATCAATAAATTAGATAGATAGATATAGGAGGGGGAAATTAACTAATGGGGGAAGAATAGAATATTTGAGAATTTACTCCTACCTTTATTCCATATTTTTGTAACATGGCTTGCTGTCATTTGTAGAGAGAAGGTGGGGCAGAGTAAAAGCTAGATCTATTCATCTTGCTGGATGAAGCAAAACGCATTGATTATATATATAATTCCAGGCATGGAAGCAAGAAGGAAACATTCAGAGCCTTGCCAGTTCCACTAATATTCATTGAGAAAACACATGGATCCTTCCCAAGTCACAGATGTTCAGTACGAAAATGCCTGGATCCTATTGAATCACAGCACATTCAGGGGAAAAAAGCCATGTCCTATTCAGTCCATGCAGTTACTAAGGAAACATATGAATCATGTTCAAGCAAGGCAGTTATTGAGGAACTAAACAAAACCTGCTGTTTTCAAGCACAAGTCACTGCCTAAATGGGAATAGTCTGTATTCAGATATAATCAATGTGGAAATTCCTGAATGCCCAGCAATTTGGTGAGGAAACCCATTGAATGACTATGTTTGGCTGGATTATATCTGGATCCATTAAGCTCTATCTAATTTCTCCCCAACTTCTGTGGATCTGTCAGTATTGATGCATGCATGAGTGTCCATGGAGTTTGCAGGGAGCTGGGTGTTTCCTCACTATTTGTATCCAGTAAACTAGTAAATTTTTCTGTTGCCGCATTGTTTCCATAATTATTGCATCCTAATTACAGTAGAAATGTTCCATCTACATGCTGTGTGTGTGTTACCCCCTGGAGTTCTTCTCCCCTGTCTTTGGCAGTCCCCATTCCCTCATCCTTGCCTTCCTCCACCTCTTCTTCTCTGATGCTTTCCATCCCCTCTCAGTTTTTCTTACTCCTTCTCGGCTTTTTTCCATATCCATGTCTTTTTTCCACATCTTTTTCTCCCCCATACCACAAGTAAAATCTTAAGCAAACTTACATGATATATTTAACCACCTCTTTTGATTACTCACTGTAGAGTGACAAGAACTACATGAAGAACAGGAATAGCACAGATTAAAGACACAGGTATGTTTTCACTGTAAAAAAAGAGTGTGTTCTTAGCTCCTGCATTAAAATATCAATGAAGACATAGCAACATGGCATTTCAATTGGGTTAGCAATTCAAGTTCAACCCGAGACTCCTATAAAGGCTTAAACTCGAGCTGCTAACTTAAGTTAGAAGCAGAGTTGCTGTCACTGCTATTTTAATCTGATTTAGCTAAATTAGTTAATATAGATAAGAACACATGTTTTTTGCAGTGAAGAAGTGCCATAGTGGCAGCAAAGGAGTATTATATCAGCCTCACTTCCTAGATTAGTATGACACGAGTAGTTTGGAGACCACTGTTACAATAGATGCAAGGCATTCTTAATAGGTTTTGAAAGTTTTGACTTTAGTATTTTCATCACGGAGGTATGGGGGGATCTTTAATACATACACAACAAAGTGTTATTCCCTGCCTAACCTGCTTTTCCCTTGTGGCCATAGTCACTATGGAAATTCAGCCTGGTAGGTGTGATGAATGGAGGATGCCTCAGATATGTAGATCCTCAGCTGTTTGGTTACTTATAGGTCTCTTATAGGACCCACAAAGATGTTGTGGCAACCAATAAAAGTTGTTACAGTTACTATGTTATTAGTAGCTTACTTTCCAAACTGAGTTAGGGATACAATAAAACCTAACTGTAATGGTTCTGCTGGTAGCCATCATTCATCTCTGTTGTTTGCAAATTGCTTTGCACAACTCATTTATTTCTGAAGCTGATGTTTGGTCCTCCCTAATCCATGGGGATTTCATTGTAAGAATCAGATTGGAAGTAATTTCTTTGATTTTGTTTATTTTCAAAGGCAGGATTTTACACCTTTGAGTGCTATGTGGCTGCAGGTAAAATGTGAGTAGACGTCACTTTGTTCTCAGAAGAGAGAGATTTTCCTTGTAGGCATGTGTCTGATTTGGAAAGTTCACTGTTTTATAAGTCTGGGTGTGGTGATCATTCAGGGTCAGATACTGATAACCTTACTCATATAGAGTAAGGCTATTGGAATCCAACTCTCAGTCAAAAGTAGAGTTGCCCAAAGAATACTTA